ATCGGAAAGCCTGCAGGTCAGCCAGCCCCCCAAGCCGGGGCTGGCAGGGCCACCGTGGCCGCAGCAGTTCTGTCAGCTCTGGGTCCAACCGGACCAGTGAAGCATCTTCCTCCTCATCCTCATCGTCGTCTTCATCCCGATCCCGATCCCGATCCCTCTCCCCCCCACACAAGAGGTGGCGAAGGTGAGCTCTGATGGCCTGTTAGGTCCTTTCCATTTAGGAAGTTCATGTACTCTCTGGTTCACTTTGAAAGCTTTTGCACATTGAGTTTGATTCTTTTAGGCACTAAGGCTTTTATTTCTGTCTTTGGCTTTTGTCTTTTCCCCCTTTCCTGGATTGTTGAAGGAGGCAAGCTGTGAGAAGATAGCTTCTGTCCTCTGTTGGAGTTTGGGGTATCCCTGAGGTCTCCTGCTTCCTTGAGACCTGCCTTGGGGAGACCCACTAGGGTTTGATCTTGACCATGTTGATTCCTTCGCATACTGTATCAGTCCTCATTTCTGGTATTTTCCTGGTGGTATGTGGGAAGGTGGGATCGTGGGTTGTTCATGGCAGATAGTCTTTCCTTTAATGTTCTGCTGAGGAAAAAGCATCTGGGAGTTCCTTTGAGTGTCACTGTGGCCTCATCTATTTCCTGGCAGTATCTTTTTCTCAATAACAGGTCCAGATTTTCCCACTTAGATAAAGAAGCCTTTATTTCTCTGAGTCTCTGTTTATTTTTCTTCTTTCTGCTTTGTTAAATATTTTTCAGTTTTTAATTGTGTAATTGAAAAGAAATAGGATCTATGCCAAAACATTGTAAAACATTCCAGATACATCTAAAATTCATGAGGACCTCAGTTTGGTCATCTGTGAAGAGTTTTTCTAGACCTCTTCTGCTCTCCTTTGCCCCTGAGCTTCCTTATAGGGAGGCAGGGTTGGGGCCAAGGTGAGGTCAGTGTAATACACCTGCACCTCTCCCAGCATCCCTTTGTGCCCTTTTATTCTCCAGGTCCAGTTGCAGTTCCTCTGGATGTTCCCGAAGATGTTCTTCCTCTTCCTCCTCTTCTTCCTCATCTTCCTCATCCTCATCTAGTTCCCGAAGCCGGTCCCGCTCCCCATCTCCCCGCCGGAGAAGTGACAGGAGGCGGCGGTGAGCATGCATTCAGGGAGTCAGTGCAAGTTCCTGAGAGTTCTGAGACTTGAGCTGTCTAATGTCAGTGAGACTGATGGCACCTTCTTCTCTTGTTAGGTACAGCTCTTATCGTTCACACGACCATTACCAAAGGCAGAGAGTGCTGCAGAAGGAGCGTGCAATAGTGAGTAGAGGAACAGGTTGTGGGAGGATGAGGCCTGCCCCTGAGCCATGAGCTCAGAGAGCAGTGTGTAGCTCTGGCTCTGGCTCATGGTGTGTCAATTTTCCTTGACCCAACATAGGAGGAGAGAAGAGTGGTCTTCATTGGGAAGATACCAGGCCGCATGACTCGGTCAGAGCTGAAACAGAGGTTCTCTGTTTTTGGAGAGATTGAGGAGTGCACCATCCACTTCCGTGTCCAAGGGTAAGCTTGGGCCCGAAGGTCAGGATATCCTTTCTGTCCCATTCATGTACCTTGATGCTTCTTTGTCTTTTCCTCTTGCTCTGGTGTACTGGTCAATGTAGAACAACTTCATTCCTAAACTTGGGGTTGGCCATTTGGGAAATTAGAAGAACCACCCCAGTTCCTCTCTGTACCCTGGGGTGGGGCGGGCGGGTGCGTTTCTCCTCCATGGCATGTGCCCAAATAGCCAGCCTCTGCCTCACCCTCCCCACCAGTGACAACTATGGCTTCGTCACTTACCGCTATGCTGAGGAAGCATTTGCAGCCATCGAGAGTGGCCACAAGCTGAGGCAGGCAGATGAGCAGCCCTTTGATCTTTGCTTTGGGGGCCGCAGGCAGTTCTGCAAGAGAAGCTATTCTGATCTTGGTGAGTGGAGGGAGGCCCTGAGGCTTTGGTGTACTTGATATCCCCAAAAGAGTTCCCAGCCTTTTGAGAGTGGGCTAGGCAGACTTGTCATCTGACACACGAAAGACCTAAGGGATGGGATAAGGAGAAATGGGGGCTCTCATCTTTTTTACTTAAAATCAGGGCGACTTTAACTCCATCTATTATTGGGATGGGAGGTGGCTGGCTAGCTGAGGACCCTGTGGTTGGGAAGTGTGGTCAGAGACCTTGATGTTTGCTTCTCTCTACCTTTATAGACTCCAACCGGGAAGACTTTGACCCTGCTCCTGTAAAGAGCAAATTTGATTCTCTTGATTTTGACACATTGTTGAAACAGGCCCAGAAGAACCTCAGGAGGTAACCCTGGGCCCTTCTCCCCTTTCCCTCTTTTGTTTGGAGGTGTCCAACCGTCTCCATCCCCCTCCCCCACTCTAGGGGAGCGCGCTGCTAGTGAGGAGATGATTTTTATAAAGAAATGGAAAAAAGTGAAATAAAAAATGTGTTAAATCAGATTTTTTAAAGGGTATTTTTTTTTTTTATAATAGGCATTGAAGCAAGTTAACTTGCATTCCTATGTAAGATGGGTGAGGTTGAGGGGTTCCCCCAGTATTTGGAAGCTCTAAGTCACTACGCAAACTAATAAACATAAACTAGAGAGAACTTCCAGGTGCTCTTGTGCTTCTTTCTTTCTATGGTGTTAATGCCAGACACATTCACTTTTGCTCTCTGAACACAATCAGTGTCATGTTTACTTCCATTAAATTACTAAGACCCCTCTGGTCAGGTGCAAAATCCTATTGGACTTGAAACTTGGCTCCTCAGGTGTGTTGTCAGTGAAATCAGTCTTCTAGGGCAGTGCTTCTCATACTTTAAAAGGGCATTTCAATCATCTGGAGATCTTTTTGGAATGCAGATTTTGACTTCTGGGATGGGGCCTGAGATTCTGCATTTCAAACAAGGGATGCTGATGCTACTGGTCTAGTAAAGATTTTTTTGTTTTTTAAGATTTTATTGGGGAATTGAGGGAGAGGAACAGACTATTTGCCGTCCTTTTTTGTTCTTCAATCTAGTTGTGGAGGACATCGCTTCACTGGCCCATGTTGGTATTATCATTGCGCTCTTCCCAGGTGAGGCATATCGGTCGCTGGCCTCTGGATGGCTGCTCATGGAGGCTCTTGGCAGCTCACACTGATTGCCGGCCGCCAGCCACTCATGGTAGCTTATGACAGCCCACTGCAGCCTACGCCATCACTGGTGACTCACAGCAGCCCAGCTCCAGGTCAAGCTGTTGTTCACCATCTTAGCTGTAGAAGGTGCAGCGTTATTGGCCCTCATGTGGGATCCGAACTGGGGCCCTGCTGCTCAGAGCTGTTATCCCAAGCCAATTCTTTTTTTATTGGGGAATTGGGGAATGGGAACACGCTGGGGAATTGAGGGAAGGGGAACAGACAAGTTGCTATCCTTTTGTCCTTCAGTCTAGTTGTGGAGAACATTGCTTCAGGCCCAAGTTGGCACCATCATTGCACTCTTCCCGGGCAAGGCAGATCAGTTGCCGGCTTCTGGACGGCTGCTCACAGCGGCTGCAGGCCGCTCACGCTGGCTGCTGGCTACACATGGTAGCCCTTGGCAACCCACTGCAGCAGGGGCTGCAGCCTACGCGGTCGCCAGCGACTCACGGCAGCCCAGCTTCAGGTTGAGCTGTTGTTCACCATCTTAGCTGTAGAGGGCAGTGTCACTGGCCCTCATATGTCGGATCCGAACCGGGGACCTCTGGCGTCCCAAGCCAGCTCTTAACCACCGCGCCACTCGGCCAGCCCCCAAGCCAATTCTTAACCAACACACCACTCCGCCGGCCCTAGTAAGGGGTTTTAATACCAAGGACCTAGAGGAAGCTTACACTTATTCTGAATAAAGGTTTTCTAAATAGAGTTGTGTATACATGTGCCATTTTAGCTTGAGCACAATGCTTGGCACACAGCAGGTGCTCAGATGTTTAAAGAAACCATGCATGTGGATAGACCTCTGGGGATGAGGGAAATGTAGGAGTTATATCTAGGAGAGGGGAATGCCTACTTTGAGAAAGGCAAAGGAGAGGTGTGTCTCCAGAGAAGGTGCATCTTTACCTTTCCTGAGGGGCATTAAATGGGAAGTAGTCAAGGGGTAGTGGGTAGGATTAAAGCAATTGCTGTCTGCTGCTAATGTGAACTGAAATATGACAGAATTTGGAATTGACTTGGCAAGCCTGGGCATTGATATTTGATTATTCAGAACAAAGGGAGAGGCAGTTGGGGGTTTTCTAACTTGCCCACAGAGTTCACTGTGTGAACTGTGACCCAGGAGGTCGAAGGGTTATTTTCAGGACTAATTTGAACAGATCTGCTGTGTCACTCAGGTTTGCTGCACACCCCTTTTTTGCCTTCATGGAACTAACCTAAGACTGAATAAGTAATCTGGGAAAAGGATTGTCTCATGGACAAAACATGATTGAGGGGGGATAGTTTTGGGGATTAACACCCCACCTCTACCACGGATAATCTGAAGGATCCTCTGCAGTAGAGGTGGGAATCCAGAGGCTGGGGTGGTATCTGAGAAAGGGCCTTCCTGGGTATTAGAAGCGGTGAAGATAAAGGGTGGGAATACACCGGCAGCGCGGAATGAGGGCGCTTGGGAGATCTTGTGACCAAGTCTAGAGTCCAAGGATAGCTCGAGCCCGCGGGTCCACATTACTCTAGAATCCGAATCCCAGGGAGGGCGCGGGAAACTCCCACTGGAAGAAATGATGCCTCCAGCAGAAAGACGGTGCGGGAAGTCCGGAGTTTTCCCGCCACGGCCGAGGGCGTGACCCCTGACGCCAAGGCTCCGCCTTCAAAAATTGGCGGACGGCGGACTCTGCCTCTACCAAGATGGCCACACCCGTGGGACCGGAAAGAGTTTACAGATTTCGCCTTGACCCTGCCTCCGAGGTGGAGGCGGGGCTACCCTATGGGGTGTGCCCGCCCCTTCCGCTGTGCGCTCGCGCGGCGCGATGGCGTCACAGGGTCTGGCCCGTCGTCTCCGGGTTCTTGACTGCCTCAGTCGTGTGCGTCGGCAACGGTAGTGACGCGTATTGCCCGGAGGATGGCGGACGCCGGCTTGCGTCGCGTGGTTCCCAGCGACCTGTATCCTCTCGTGCTCGGCTTTCTGCGCGATAACCAGCTCTCGGAGGTGGCCAATAAGTTCGCCAAGGCAACAGGCGCTGTGAGTCCCGGGCTTGGGGCACGGGCCGGGTGGGATGACCACAGGACTCCCGGCCCTGACATGCTTAGGTTTCCAGGTAGAGACGTCCGTGGAGTCTTCCAGCCCAGTGCCTGCGGGGCCTCTGTGCCGACCTCTCGGCGGTGACTGGAGAAAGCCTGGAGCCCACGAGGTCTGATTAAATAGCGCTCAGTCTTGCTGCTTTTTTTCTGGTGAAGTGCTCTGGCGGCAACATGGGACCCTCGTGGCCCAGTCACGTGGCTGGCGGAGTGCGGCGTGAAGGGAATGAGTGCCCTGTATCATTGGAGGCATTGGAGGCTCCTGGCTCATTCTTTGCGCCTTACGTTGGCTGATGCAGAGCGGGATTTCAACTTAACTCTTAATCGAATTTACCCAGGATTCAAAGATAAATAAAATTGTTTTAGAAGGCTGGGATTTTCGTTAGTAAAGAAAATGAACGAAGTAGAGCCAGGGTCCAGTTTTTAGTTATACTGAAGCGGGATTGAGCATCATAACCCTATCAAGCGGGCATAAACTGTGGGCTTGGACCTTTGACTTGTGGAATCAAACACATACAGGATTCGGACTAGGCTCTGCCACTTTAAGATGTATTACCCCAGCTTGCTTAAGCTGAATCAGTTTTTATTTCTATGAGGATGTCGTCGTTCACTTTATAGGATTTTTGTGAGTTTCAGTAACATATATACAAAATGGCAATCCCAGTGCCTGGTGCTCAGAAAGCAACAGTGAGTGAAAGCTGTTACCATAGTTTTGGTAACTGAGGATGTTCCAAACAGTAAAAGGAAGATGACCAGGGATGTGAAAGGTTTGGAATCTACATCTCAAGAAAAGCAGATATGATTGTAAGGGAAAACACCTTGAGAGAGAGTAGAGTGTCTTTGGCAGTGTTAGTTTGTGACGAAGAAGATAAACTTGTTCTTTGATGCAGAATCAGGCTGCACAAGTTGAGAATCAGATCAGCCTCAGAAAAGACTTCCTTAAGCTGGGGCACAGCCTGCCATGTGATCTGATATAACTGCTTTCATATTGGAACTATTTGGAATTGACTGTTAGGCTGCAAAGAACGTTTCCACAATGGACTGGATGGAATTGGCCTCTTCAGAATTGGGATTCTTTTTCATGTGGCAAAAACTAATCTGTGGAGGGCTTACTAAAGGCCAGATGCTAAACCCTTTATATGCCTTATCTCTTATCCTCTCAACAACTGAAGATGTATAGTGTTATCTCCATCTTAGAGAAGAAAACAGTCTCAGAAAGATTAAGTAATTTGCTCATCTAATTCTGAGCCTGTACGCTTGTGTGTACTGTAATGTTTTTTTGCACCAATTAATAATACAGGGTGCCAAAAAAATGTATACACATTTTAAGAAAGGAAAACTATTAAGATTGTAATAATCAATATATAACAATAACAAAAGATGAATACAAATTACGTTTGACTTCTGCAATTACAAGAAGTGCTCAAAGTGTCCAGACACTTCTTTTTTTTTTTTACAAGAGAACAAACCCACTTTCTTTACTTTTCAGTAAGTTTAAATCCTTAAGGGGTACACCATTCCACGGATTCTGTGTCCTATGGCCTTAGCAGGATAGTTGCTTCGGAATTTGGCACGAACCATGCCTCTGTTTCCATGAGCACGAATTGACTTTTCCCCAGGTTACTCTGGTTTTATTAGGTTTGCCACCAGGAGTCACTCTGTTCTTTGCCTTGTACACATAAGCACATCTCTTGCCTAGATAGAATTCAGTTTTGTCTCGAGCATAAATACCTTCAATTTTAAGAAGAGCTGTGTGTGCTGTCTCTGGTTCTGGAGACCATACTTATAGCCAGCAAAAATAGTTTTGGACCACAGCCTTCCATACTTATTTGTTGTTTTAGAATTCCTATACCCAGCAGGCCTCCACAGGCTCCAAGATCCAGACACTTCTGATTACGGCGAACTACTGCTTGAGCAACATTAACCAAAATGTCCACGTGTGTGTGTGTGTGTGTGTGTGTGTGTGTATTTTGGCACCCCCAGTATATACTAGTGTGATTAGTAGCTGGATGCAATTCTGTACTGAATACATGACATAGCTTTTTATCAGTCTTCTCTTGGAGACTGTTTTCCAATGATTTGGTTTTATAAATCACATTGCAGCAAACATCCTTTTTATAAATGTTTGTGTCCTTGTTTCATGGGTAAGATAAATTCCTAGATAATACATTGTTAGAGTAAAGGAAATAAACATTTTAAAAGTCTTTGATAAATAGGATCAACAGGTGAGGGATAGATGGTGCCAGAAACTGTAGGAATAGCTCAAGCTTTTGATACCAAAAATTGGGAAATACATAAGTAGAATATTTTTCTCCTGATTTGTGCAAGTAGAAGTCACACAAAGTTGTAACATTTATTAATATTGTATATGAATAAAGAAGGTCATTTAATGAGAGAGTAACACAAAATCTGATCTCCCCTAGAATAACCAGGATAAAAGATAAATTTTTTTTCACCCAGCCTTTTCTCTTTTCTCCTACAGACCCAGCAGGACGCCAATGCCTCTTCTCTCTTGGAGATCTATAGCTTCTGGCTCAAGTAAGTCTTCTGTGTACCATTGTGGCTGTTTCCTAGCCCCAAGTGGGCTGGGCTGTGTTCCTTGGTTTGGGAAGGTTCTGATCATGCAGAAGTTAGCCTAATCTACCTCAGCAGGTCCACCAAGGCTCCAAAGCGGAAGTTACAGACAAATGGACCAGTGACTAAGAAGGCTAAGAAGAAGACTTCATCTAGTGACAGCAGTGAAGACAGCAGCGAGGAGGAAAAAGCCCAAGGGCCCCCAGCTAAGAAAGCTGGTAAGGCCGGGCAGGGAGTTGGGGTTAGCGGTTCCAGGAAAAGGATTTGTAGTCTGCCTATATTGCATGGCTGATTCTTATTGGGACCTGTGCTTTTTTGTTCAGCTGTACCTACTAAGCAGGCCAGTCTGCCTCAGCATCCTGGAAAGGCTGCAGCCAAAGCATCTGAGAGCAGCAGCAGTGAAGAATCCAGTGATGAGGATGAGGAGGAGGACAAAAAGAAAAAGCCTGTCCAGGTTTGCAACCTTGGGAAGGAGGTGGGTTGCTTTAGGGATCTGTAAAAGGAAACCTAATATCTTGGCTTCTAGCTTGTGACTAAGGGATGGTGATGGGGTAAGTGATTATAGGGCAGAAAACCTGGGGACTTTCAGAGAGATGATAGAAGTGTGAATGAAGTTCTGGAAAGGATATATGTGAGGTTGATGTTGGACTCTGAATGTAGAGGAAATTCAACCCATCTGCTTCTTTAGAGGTATTGGGTTTCACTGGGACACTGTCTAAGACTCCCAAGAGTAAGAGAATGTTTTGTGTACAGGTGTTGGGAGCTCTAGGCAAGGAATGGCATGGACAGGGCCAGTAGATAAATGGCTGAACTTTTTGTTTCTTATTAAGAGTTTGTTGTCCTTTCCATTTGCTGTCCTGCTTAGCTTCCCCTTGCTCATACTATTTCATTAGCCCCTAAAAAAGAAAAGGAGCCTAGGAAGCTTTCTACCTTAGGATGCCCTTTGGATACCCAGAACTCTTGCGGATTCTCCTCACTGTGTGTTTTCTAACAGAAGGGAGTTAAGCCTCAAGCCAAGGCAGTCAAAGCTCCCCCTAAAAAGGCTGAGAGTTCTGATTCTGATTCTGACTCAAGTTCAGCGGATGAGGCACCAAAGAACCAGAAGCCAAAGACAACACCTGTGGCAGCTAAAGCTCAGGTTAAAGCCCCAGCCAAACCAGGTACTGTTTCTGTTTCCAAAAGTCCGGGCTGGGGACCATTTTGCTCTGGGGACTGTTTAAATTGCTTATTCAGCACAGGGGTGAAATGGTACTAGCTGTTGAACTGGAGGTATTGATTATTGTTACTTTTATTTAGTAAAGATTTCATAATTAAGGACTAGTAACTAGAGAAACAGCAGCAAGGGAAAATGCGTTTTAAAAAATGGTATGTTTGTCATTCTTTAGTTGCATTTCATAGACGTGTATATTCCCACATATCCCATTCTACTGTGACCACTTATACCTCTATTCTTTATGGTTTTCTGTACCATTTTTCCTCCTATACCTTCATTCCATAGGAGAAGTGAGAATTTTTATTTTTTTTCTATAATTTTCCTTTGATGAAAGTTAGGTTATGATTTAGAGGAGCTTCTCTAGAAGTTGGAGTGAAAGACTTCAGAGGGCATATTTAAATTATTTGCATCATACCCTTTTTTTTTTTTTAAAGGTTTTATTGGGGAATTGGGGAAGGGGAACAGCCAAGTTGTTGTCCTTCAATCTTAGTTGTGGAGAGCGCACCTAGCTCAGCTTCAAGTCTAGTTGCCATCCGGCCGCTAGTCAGCAGCTTGCGGCCGCTCAGCTCAAGGTGCCATGTTCAATCTTAGTTGTGGGTGGGCATATCCCACCATCCCATGCAGGAGTCAAACCGGCAACCTTGTTAGGAGCACGTGCTCTCACCAGCTGAGCCATCCTGCCACCTGTTGGCAGCTCAGCTTGGGCGCAGCTCACTGGCCCATGTGGGAATCGAACAGGTGACCCTGTTGCTCAGAGCTTGTGCTCTTAATCAGCTGAGCCACTCGGCTGGCTCATACCACTTTTTAAGATAGTTTTATTCCTGAAATTAGGCAGGAAAGACATCCTGTGATACAATAAACCACAGTGGTCCCCTTCATGCCTGCTCTAAAGGCAAGAGAATTGATACACTCCTAAGTTCTGAGCTAATAGGAAGGAGGTTCTTCTGGGCCTTCAATGCCATGGTACTTCTTACACTATTTTTTCTTAGGCACACCTGCTCGAGCAGCACCTAAAATAGCCAATGGCAAAGCAGCTGATAGTAGTAGTAGCAGCAGCAGCAGCAGCAGCAGCAGCAGCGATGACTCAGAGGAGGAGAAAGCAGCAGCCGTCTCCAAAAAGGTCTCTGCGTAAACTTCTACCGGGGAAGAGTGGGCCGGGGACGAAGGGAGGGTTTCTATTTCCTGGTGGGATTGGTTGGGTCAGCACTTTCCTGTGCTAACTTGATTTTCTCTGTATGATGCAGGCTGTACCTAAAAAGCAAGTAGTGGCCAAGGCTCCAGTGAAAGCAGCTGCCGGCCCCCCTCAAAAGAGTTCCAGCAGTGAGGACTCCTCCAGTGAGGAGGAGGAGGAGGAACAGGAGCAGAAAAAACCTATAAAGAAAAAACCAGGTGACAGGACATGGGGCACCAGGCTGCATGATTGTTATTGGGGCCCAGTTGCAGGAGGACCTCTGTAGTCACCATGGGGAACTCCCCATAGAACTGCTGGACAAGACAGCTAGTTTCTCCCAGAGAAAGGAGAAAGCCGCATTGCCTTTTATACTCTAGACTAGAAAATGACATGTCAGCATCTCTGCCATATTCTATTTGTTAAAAATGAGTCACTAATATAACCTACACTCAAGGGAAGGGGTTAAGCTCCATTTCTAGAAAGGAGCGGTATCAAAGAATCTGTGTACATGTTTTAACACTACCACACTGTCCCTTTTAAACAGGTCCCTATAGTTCAGTCCCCCCACCTTCTGCTCCCTTACCCAAGAAGTCCCTGGGAACTCAGCCTCCCAAGAAAGTTGCAGAGAAGAAACAGCCTGTGGAGAGCAGTGAGGACAGCAGTGAAGAGTCTGGTGAGTCAACAGCAGTGGTGAGTGGGTCTGGGGAATGGATGAGGAATAGGAAGACAGAAATGTCCTGGTCTTTCACTGAAGCAAGACAGGGCTAAGGCTCTGTGTGGGTCTGTTGGGTCGGGATGCTGGATCCAGCCTAATGCCATAGGCTCTCTCCAGATTCAAGCTCTGAGGAAGAAAAGAAGCCACTAGCTAAGGCAGTCATTTCTAAAGCAGCCACTAAACCAGCTCCAGCAAAGAAGGCAGCAGAGAGCTCTTCAGACAGCTCAGGTAAGGCATATGGAGGCCCCCAGGGTAGTGGGGGCTCCAGGGGCTCTCCTGAGGCTGATGTGGGGTGCTATTCATTTTGTTCTTTCTTGTATAGACTCTGACAGTTCTGAGGATGAAGCACCTGCTAAGCCAGCAAGTATCACCAAGAATCTCTCACGTAAGTCAGCTGCTACTCCCAAGCAGCCTGCAACCAAATCAGCCACAACTCCCAAGCAGCCTGCAAGCAGTGGCCAGAAGCCTCTGACCAGAAAGGCTGATAGCAGCTCCAGCGAGGAGGAGAGCAGTTCTAGTGAGGAGGAGGAAAAGGCAAAGAAGGTGGTGGCCACCCCTAAGTCCAAGGTGATGGCCAAAGCAGCACCATCGTTGCCTGCAAAACAGGCGTCTCAGGGTGGTGGGGACAGCAGCTCTGATTCAGACAGCTCCAGCAGCGAGGAAGAGGAAGACGAGAAGCTGTCTAAACCCCCAGTGAAGAAGCCACAGAAGACAACGGGAGCTGTATCCCCTTCCAGGGCAGCCTCCACAAAGAAAGTAAAGGCCAAGAGCAGCAGCAGTTCTTCTGATGACTCCAGTGAGGAGGAGGAAGAGGAGAAGCCCAAAGGCAAGGGTACTCCTAGACCACAAGCCCCCAAAACCAATGGCACCTCTATCCTGACTGCCCAGAATGGAAAAGCTGACAGGGATAGCAGTGAGGAGGAAGAAAAGACAAAGGCAGTTTCTAAGCCAGGTTTGTATCCAGAGATGCTGCCCGCTAGGTCCCTGTTCCCCCAAATCAGGATGGGATATATACTCTTGGGGGATGGGGAGGGAGAGGAGGCAAAATGACCGGATTCCAGTTGCAGGCCCTTAGTGTGGGAACCTGGGTGGAGGAACAGGAAAGTGGTCTCCTGAGGCTGGCTTTTGTTTTGTAGGTTCAGGAAAGAAGCGGAAGCAGAAAGAAGTTGCCACAGAGGCAGAAACTCCTCAAGCCAAGAAGATAAAGCCACAGACCCCCAACACATTTCCAAAAAGGAAGAAAGTGAGTTGTCTTGTTTCCCTCTCAGGAGCCAGCCTGTAAAGAATAGAAAGGGACCTGGGATCACCCTGACAGCTCTCTGCCTGGCCTGGCACACATGCACATATGTGTAGCTCAGGAGGGCTTTTCTGTTACCTGACTACTCCATTTTTAATTTCCTACTTCATTCTTCTCCAGGCAGAAAAAAGGGCATCATCCCCATTCCGAAGGATCAGGGAGGAGGAAATTGAGGTGGATGCTCGAGTGGCAGACAACTCCTTTGACGCCAAGGTGAGGAAAGGGGGGTGTTCACCATTCTTGAGTCGTGTAGGGTGGAAGAGAGGACAGCTTTTGCCTCAGATTGGCAGGAAGCTCTCTGGGTTCAGGTTGCTTTGGCAGAAAGAAGAACGTAACAGGGCTCTGATGTTGTTCTTTGTGTTAACCGCCTCTCTACTCACCAGCGGGGTGCATCCGGAGACTGGGGGGAGCGAGCCAATCAGGTCCTGAAGTTCACCAAAGGCAAATCCTTCCGGCATGAGAAGACCAAGAAGAAGCGGGGCAGCTACCGGGGAGGTGCCATCTCTGTCCAGGTCAATTCAGTTAAGTTTGACAGCGAATGACCTGGGGCCATCGTAGCGAAGCAGGGGTAATGATCCAAGACTACTTACTTTTCCAACTGGACCTGGGAGTCCTCAGCTCTATTAGGGAGGTCTTGGTGAGGACTGCAGTCTAGAATAGACTGAAGACTTTGCATTGATTGTAACATCCTCTCTGGTCCTTTTCTGTGTTCGTAGTTTTGTATACAGATTTGTTTTTGAGTGTTGAGTAGCAAGAACAAAATAAGGGAAGTGTTCTTTTTTAAAAAAAATTCATTTTAGTTGTCATCCCCTTTTCCCTGTTCTGTAGAAATTCTCATACTGAGAAATTTGTATATTTTATATTAAATCATTTCCTATTGCTTTTTTTTTTCCTATTGATTTTTGTTGTGATTTTCAGAGGTGGGTTCCCACAGATAAAAACTGTTGCCTAATACATAGTAAAAAATCACGTGTATAAATTTTTATAATTGGAGAATTCTGCCTATGTGAATGCACATGTCCACATTTCATCCCTCCTATCCCTCAGCCCTGGTGAGGGGCAGTTAAGAATGGTTAATGTATATGTCTGTTAAGCATGCGCTGTTAAGCATCCTCATTCATGGGGTCTCAGACCGAAGTTTTCAGAGAGCATGGATTTAGCTACTTTGGGAGATAAAGTTCACCCTTTTGTTACAGGCAAAATTCTGGTGTGGTGTGAATGCTGTGGGGTCAGCCTGAAATGTTTGTTTTCTGCAATTTTATTGCATAATGATGTTTGCAATATATGGTTTTTAATTTGAAAGCATAAACTTTTCTATTGTGCAAAGACTTCTTTCGATGACCCTTAATTGAGGGGACTGTATTGTCTGATTTTTTTACATGTTAGAGAACAAAATAACATTAATTTAATCTGGAAAGTACATATCGCTTGGTTTTTCTGTCTTGATAGCAGTGGTGATACAAAATTAGTTTCATTAACTCCTACGTCACCGATTAAGAAAGTGAAAGAAGAAAAACTATAATTAATAACCTCAATCCTGAGTAGGAATTAAGTTACATTAGTCAGGTAAATTTAGTCACCTAAGTATGTGCTAATGGAAATGAGAAGAACCTTTACAAAGCATATTATCTGGTAAAACTTGAGTAGAGTGGGGTTGGGAGAGCATCCTAATAGGATTATTGTGTCTTGTAGTTGGTACATGGGAGCAACTCATGTGGCCCCTTCAGAACCTTAACTGGCAGCAACAGTGGAGGTAACAATAAAAAAACAATGAGCAGGGGCTGGCCAAGTGGCTCAGTTGGCTAAGAGTTTGCTCAAGAGTGCGAGCTCTGAGCAACAGCGGTTCGAGTCCGGCCCAAGCTGAGCAGCCGCTGAGCTGCCAACAGGTGGCAGGATGGATCAGCTAAAAAATAAACCAACAAAAAACCAGTGAGCAGAGATGTGACTCCTAGGCCAAGCTAGCTGATTGTAATGCTGTAGAACATGTCTGTCGGCAGTGCTCAGCCAATGCAGGATGGAGAGGGACGAATCAGTGAACTCTCTGGAGGCTGGGCTGTCCCTGTGGTGGGATGGTGGAGATCTTTAAGATTAGCTATTCCGTACTTGCCAAGTAACCTGATAACCTGGTTTTCCATGTAACTGCCTCTAGGAAGAAAATGCACTGTTCTTGTGCTGACATAGGTATTTCAGTCTGCATGGTAAAAGTTACACATCTTACTACAAAATAATAAACTAGCTGGTTTATAATGTGTCTTGGGAGTTTTATTATTGTGAGTTCAAAGTCCTCCCACCCTCTGCTCAAACCAGAATAACTTAGGTGCCAGTTAGAGGGCTGGGGTCCAGACATGTGAGTTCACTGCAGAGCCTTGGCAGCAGCTTGCTGGCTTTTCGTGGCCATACTTTGTCTCATGGTGCCTTTTTCATCCAGCCGGTATGGAGTCTAAATTGGGGGTTTGCAAAATGGCCTATGGGCCAGATCCAGCCCATGGCTAGTTGTATTGCTTAGGAGCAAAGAATGATTTTTACATCTTTAAAGGGCTTTTAGAAAAGAATATATGACAGACTTCATGTGGCCCACAAAGCCTACAATATTTATTATCTGACCTCTTACAGAAAAAGTTTGCTAATGGCTGGTATAAATCAGTGATTTCATAATACTAGCTGAAAATTAGAATCATCTGGGCACTTCTAAAAACACTGATACCCAGGGGCCCATCCCCAGACGGGCTGAGTCAGACCCTGGTGCTCTCTGGTGGGGCCTGACTATTAGCTCCTAGGTGATCCTAATGAGCAACTAGTGTTGAAACCCATTGATGGGAGTATTTGAAAAGAAATGAATTGATATTTTTTCTTCATGCTTCCATTTTCAAGTGTATTTGTTAAAACTAATAGTATAAAGTGAAAATTAAATTCCCATTTCCGGACTTGATTCTTTTTTTTAAATATAATTTAATTTTATCTCCTTTTAGAGAGTTTTCCTGTATGTAATATGTGAATCTTCTCATGGTTTTCCTTACACAAATGGGGTAGCTTATTATATGCAGTGTTTCATAACTTTGGAGCTTATTTCATAACAGAACACAGCAGCTCATTTTTAATGGTTGCATGGTACTTCATTCTGTGGAAATAGCATAAGTTATTTAAACTAGTTCCTTATTTGTAAATGTTTAGGTTATCATAGATTGGGCAGGTATTTTCATCTTAAAATGGAATGTAGTTATATCCATTAAATTTATTCATAAAAATAGATGAATTTATGTTTACTATTTATTGTTTAAAGTTATGGCTTACTGTCTTTTCTTTGCATCTCATAAATATAGCCTTTTTTAGTCTTGTTTGCTTTTTTAACTTAACAGACCTCCTTTTCCCTTACGTCTTGCAAAGCTGAACCTGCTACATATATTCAGCTGTGTTATACAAATGAGGCAGTTTAGCAAATTGTAACAGCATTTACTAGGAAATTATTTAACATCTCTGATTCTACTTTCTCATTTAAAAAGAGTACTCACTCATGTTGTCTGTAAAATCTGACTATTCCAGAGGGCTGTTACAAAGACTGAGAATTTATCTAAAGCATGTAGCACAGTTCCTGGCACATTGTAAGCACTCCATGACTGCCTCTTGCAAAATAAAGAGGATTTGGGGAATGACTTCCTTTGGTATCCTTGTGATATGCAACATGCCATTTCAACAAAAGCTCAAATCTTATCTTAGAGTTATATCCTGGCAGTATTTTGTTTGCTTAGCATCTTCATGATGCCAAACATTGATATGCAGAATTGATCCTATTTCTCAGAAACTTTAGTTTTGTGGGGGATCTAGAATTCCCACCTATTGCTGATGGGTTCTGGCATTGTTGCTGAAGTCTACAAGTTCAGTAAATCGCATACATGGTGGTTCAGGCCCCTCTGCAGTGTACCTCAAAATGACACAAGGCAGGAGACTTTCTAACACCCCTTTGTAGGTGCTTCATAGGTTATATCCTCATTGCAACCCAACCCTGTTAGGTGAGTATTAACTAGATCAGGGTTTCTCAGTCTCAGCACCTTTACCATTTGGGGCCAGATAATTGTGGAGGACTGTCCTGTGTATTATATCTTTTATTTTTATTTTTAGCTGAGCCATCCTGCCAACCTCAGCGGCAGCTCAGCTCATGCTGGGAATCAAACTGGCAACCCTGTTGCTCAGAGCGAGCTCTTAACCAACTGAGCCACTCAGCCGGCCCTGTCCTGTGTATCCCTCAGTTTGGATAACCAAAAGTGCTCCAGATTATTTCCAGGTATCTCCTGGGAAGCAAAATAACCCCTAGTTGAGAACCACTGGGAAAATAGCTGATTAGCAAATGATTTGCTTGGGGTGGATAAAACTGCAACTTAGTGGCACACTGAGACAAGGACCCAGGTCTTTATGTCTGAAAATCATCTACCTGTATTCAACATTGAGTGCCTACTAGGTATTAGTCATAGGACTCCCTGAGAGCTAAGCCCTAATGGGGGAAGTTGGGCATGGAATTGGTTCTGTACACTGCTGAGTACTGTCACCAAGGGCCAGAGTAGCAACCCAAAGAGGACAAGCAAGAAAACACTTGGCTGACCTTGGCCCAGGATTCCGAGTTAGAGTAGCAGCTTGCCAGGTGTGAGGAAGGCACATATGCAAGGAAGAGGACATTTTTCCAGTAGGAGAAGAGGGCCTTTAGGATGGATCAAGTGAAGAGTGGGGAGGTAGGGGCAAGATAATGCTAAGTGACAGGGTTCACTGGCAATGGCCTTTGGTTCCAAGTCAGGAGTTAGTACTTGATTTTGTCCACCTGAGTATGTTAGGGGATTGATAGTCCAATGCAAAGCTTCTGGTGCCAATAAAGCTACTGACCACTGAGTTCTCACCCACTGCTCCCTGCAGAGCCTGCTTAAGCTGTTTGCTGTTACTGCAAAGGCCAGTAGGTGGGGCTCTTGCCCACTACAGGGAGCTGGACTGAACATAAGTGGAACCTTGACATTGTCATTGTTCCAGTTTTATTCAACAAACTCAGAACCTGCCGTGAGCGAGCTTTTGGATATAAAGATGAATAAGACATAGGAACCTTGTTTGAAGACCCTTGTGGAGAGTGGAGAGGGGAGTCCCTTTTAGTCTCTAGCCTGTCCTGGTTATCTATGAGTGGTCACCTGTTACCTGACAGACCATGACAGGTTAACATGGCTTGTAGAGGAACCCTGATCACCATGGAACCCTCAACCTTCCCCTCAGGTTCTACAGGGCACTGGAGTTCCCACAATGAGGGCCAGCCACATGTTCCCATTGGTTATGGAAACTAGACCTGTGTCCTTCCTCAGCCTGTCTACCCTCCGCTCCCAGGCATAATCCCCTTGAGCTCAGGATTGAGGAGAACAAACACCAGGCTTCCACCTTGGAAGTGGGGTGGGGTTGAGAGGTGGGGAGTAGAATATTTCAATAAATTAGCTGACCAGCCACAAATTCATCCATTCAGCAAATATGAGTGCTTACTATGTGCATATGTGATTTTGTGAGAGATAAAGACACAGCCATAAATGAACAAAAAAACACACAGTCCCAGTGACCAGCGTTTCCCCAGGCTAATGAGGGACAAAGATACTAATTCTCACAAATAAATGTAAATATAAACCAGTGCGATGACAGCAAAGTGAAAAGAGCTATTAAGAGGGCAACCCACCCATGTGGTGGGGGAACTTCCCCAGGGGTGGGGGGGATGACCATGTAATTTATCATCTAACCTGGAATGCTTTTTGTTTGTTTGTTTGTTTGTTTTTTTTTTTAGCTGAGTCCTCCTGCCACCTGTTGGCAGCTCAGCGGCAGCTCAGCTCGGGCCGGGACTCGAACCACTGTTGCTCAGAGCTCGCACTCTTGAGCGAGCTCTTAACCAACTGAGCCACTCGGCAGGCCCTGGAATTCTTTTGAGAGTGAAAGGGAGGGCAGTTAATAATTAGGCTGAGATGAACCGGTAAACAGAATATCTTAAGCAAGCTAAGACATGGTCATAATAATAAAAATCTTTACTGAGGAAACGATGTTTCAGCTGAGACTAGAAGGTGAGAGTTAGGTGAACGGGCTGAGGATAAGCAGGGCTCTGTTTTATCCAGCTACAGGAAATAGCATGTGCAAAGGCCTTTTAGTGAGAAGGAGCATGGTGGACTCCAAAACTGAAAGAAGGCCTATGAAGCTGAAAGGCAGAGTGAGGAGGATACTAGACAGGTAGATAGGGACCAGAGCATACAAAGCCTTTATAAGGCATGTCTAAGAATTTGGTCTTTATTCTTAAGTCAGTGGGAAGTTATTGAAAAGTGTGCATCTT